GATGCTAACTAATCCTCACATGATTGAGTCATTCCACGTTGATTATCCTTATCTAATTCCATGATTCTTTGGTTGTTCGAGAGCACATACCAAATGGCGAGGGTTCTCGCAGAGGAGGGCGTGGCCAAGGCCGGCGCTGGTTCGTGCCTGCTGTTGTAGGCAGCGTGGTTCGTGGAGGTCTCGAGGTCGTGGCGGCGGAGTGCTCGTGGATGGAGGTCGCCATGGTCGAAGGAGACATACGCAGGGTACGAAGCGACTACTGCAGAAGGTCGTACGATAGGAGACCATGAGGCAACCTTCATAGTGCGTAGGACCCAAAAAAATCTGCAGATCTGCCTGAGCGTGTTATATGGAATTGAAGAACATAGCAAAGGACGGAAAGAGCGACGGAGCTACGCCGGCCAAGCAAAAACGGCGCGTCGGCGGTCCAGATCTACACGAAAGCGAGCGAGCGCTAAACAGTAGGGAGGACCAGATGGGTGGCATTGCTCACCATGGTTGCAAGCTCGGGGTGGAAGCGGGCTCTCGGTCCGTCCGCCAAGAATCGATTAGCAAAAGGTTGGTCGCCGCCGCCGCCGCCAGGGGAGAGGAAGAGGCGTTGAAGCGGTCCACGCGTGCAGCCTCCGTCGTCTCCGGCCGCCCCCGTGCCGTTGCGCCGCCGCATCGGACCGCCCGAGCTAGGGCCACCACGTCGGTCACTCGTGAGCGGGAGCGTGAGCGAGGCCTCGCCTGCGCTGGGGGCCTCCTGTGCCCGTGCCCACTGCGCCGGACCCGCCTGCCCGCGGCAGAACTCCTGAGCCGCTGCTGAGAGTGAGGGAGAGTGAGGGAGGGAGTAGAGGAGCAAGCAGCCGCTGCCGCCTGCCATTTACACGAGAGAGAGAGAAAGAGGAAGGAGCACCATTTTACATGAGAGGACCATGGCGGAGCCCAGCTCTGCCGACGCCTCTGCATCCTCCGGCACGCAAAGTACATTGTCCTTGCATGCATGGTCATTTAATTTTGCATCTACCTCATTGAATGCGTCCACCTGTTTGGTCTATCCACCGCCGAGCGCATGGAGGAAGGTTGGCTGTGACGCACTTCGTTTGAACCGTGGAATTTCTATCTAACGCACCAGCTAAAATAGGCAGTACGTGGACATTCTATGAGGCCACCGATTCGGTTATCTTTAATGCGCGGTATCATCCGCGCATGCATGCGCTTCCACTGTCACGGAATTTCAGCACGCAGACGCAGGTGGACCATCGCGATCGTGTGGAGATCGCATGCACACGGGACGTATCTTCAACTCTCTCGTATGCATACATATCCACAAAACTAACGTCTAGTGGTGTGTTGTGTAGCCATAGGCCATAGCCATATCCTAGACTAGACGACACGACACTGTGCATTGGGCAAAAGTCGTTGACCAACAAGGTACTCGTAGCCAACAACGGAGGGATCGCGATCGACCTGACAGGTGACCCGACGAGCGCTTGGCATGCATGGCATTGGCAGGTCAACCCTCCTCCGGCACGAGACCTGAAGAAGCGCCACCCTACGCACGCACGGGGTCCGTCCCGGTTGACCGACACGGCCGCATGGTTCCGGTGCCCGGCCGGCCGGCCGTCGTCCCGTCTCGACACGGCATGCACCACGGCGGCTCGGATTTACGCCCCGGCCCGCCCGGCCGGATCGAGTCACGTGCCCCGGCCGCCCGGTACGTTGAATTCCCCGGCCCGCGCGTCTGAACGCGCAGCAGCCAGCAGACTTGCGGGTATGTTCCCGCGGTCCGGTCCGCACCGCGCCGGACCTGCCGCCCGCGACCATGTCCAGACTCCGCGAGGCCAACCGATTTTCGTAGTGGTAGGGCGCGCGGCGCGGTCCGCGTGCGCACGCGGCACGGGCGGGCGGCGCACGGGCCGTGAGGTGCGGGGCAGCCGTGGCTGCCGCCGGCCGCGGAGTCACGCAGGCGGCAGCGGGGTCTCGTCTCGCACGGCGCGGAGCGGAGGAGGACCTGGACCCGCGTGACGCGACGAATTCCGCTCCTGCCCCGCGAGTCCGCGACGTGGAGGGACGGGCAAAGAAGGCGTGACTGGCCGGTAAAAAAAATTAAAGAGGGCGTAGGAGTGATGGATGGATGATTCCGCGTGAACGGATCGGCGTTGGGTCGCTAGGACGGGACGGGTAGTGCGGTGCGGGAAAAAAGGGGACGGGGTCATGGGGATGCGGACGGCCAAAAACCACGTGGAATCCCGTGGGGCCCGCGGGGTGGGAGGGGCGCACGCGTCGCGAGTGTTGTGGAGGAGCCGTGGCCGTCGCGGCCCCCAGGTCGTCGTTGGCGCTCGCTCGTTTTCCTCGGCTCAGCCCAGGCCAGCGCCAGTCAAATACGCCCGCCCACTGAGCCCGAGTCTTTCCTTGAGATAACACAAAGTGCAGTGCAGCTGTATTTTAATTCCTCTCCGTCGCCCCGGAGGGATTTGGCTAATGGTCCACCGTGCAATCGCCCCCGGCTCGGTCGGCACGACCTGCGTCTGCGTTTGGTGCTGGTTCTATGCGTGGATAGATAGTCCCATGCATCACCTAAATTGCTCAAAAGGAGTTCACTATAGCATCTTGTTGGTGTGCGTGCCCGCTTTGTCGCTTTCCATGCGTATTCCATAGGTACATACAGTACCATGCAGTTCATCCACGTTTTTAAAATGTGTTGCAATCCATGAGGATGCAAGCGGGGTTATCCCAGATAACCCTAAAAATTAAGTCTATTTATGGGTTCACGGATAAACTAGCTTAGTTCCTAACAATCCATCGCCATAGGCTACAAGGTTTGCAAAATTTAATAGATGGAACATTCTATATGAAGCAAATCACCAAATGGACTCTTTTTCTAAGATCTCTAGTAGTCTTTATTGTCAAATTTTCTTTTCTACTATCATGTTTTCTAAAAAAACGTCCTATGACAGCTCGCTATTAACTTGGTCACGTTGCTCATGTGGCAACAAGGAAAGACATTTGGACCACATGCATGGCAAAAGGAAAAGCATTTTGAGGACGTCCAGCCAAATGTATACATAGTTTAATCTGGCCAATGTATGCAATTGTATCATTATAAGCACCTTCATATGTATTAGCTTTAAGAAAAGAAACATAAGGCTCTTAGAAATATATCCTTGGATATTAAGTCGACATGGCCATCGAATAAGTTCTACCATGATACATTGGCTCAAGGTTGTACAAGCAGGAGACTATGTAAGCAAAAAATACCAGTGATGCCATTTGTAAATCTCACTCGGCCTATCTTGGTGACATGAGGAAGTACATGTTTTGTTCACATTTTCTTCTATGCCTATTGATACAATATTGTCGATCCATTTTCACCCTCTAAATACTCCGCGTAGCTTTACACGAAGTTATTGATGCGCTCTCTATTAAATTGTTGTATATATATATCACCTCTATCATTATACATGCCTTAACACATTGTAGCTGGTATCTTATATACAGTGCATCATTGTTCTATCCTCTAGACAATTCTATGTAGATCTACGCATGTTATCTCGAAGGTTGTACAAGCCGAAGATCAGGTAAAAAAAAGTTCAAATATTAATACTGCAATCCGTGAAGCTCTTTATCCTATAACCATGACATGGGGGATCCACATGTTTTATTGGTATTTTCTCCCTGGACTCTTGACACAACATTTTGAACGTGTTTTCTCGCCTTATAGTTATCTTATCCTCTAGGTATTTCACTTAGCTTTATATGGCATTATTGATAGGCTCGCTATTACACTATTAACATATCACCTTTTGTCATTCTACGTGCCTTAATATGTTGTAGCTATTTCTATCTTATCACTGCTCTCCCCTCAATACTCACCTATGTAGCTCCACACGCATCATCAATTTGTTTTATTAAAATATTATCCTACCGCCTACCATTTTATGTGCCTTCACATGCTGTAACTGGTACATTATCTCTAACGTATCATTGTTCCCTCCTCCAGATTGATCTACGCACTACACTACACGCATTATTGATATGTTTTATTATATCTCCTTCCAATTACCACTTTTTGTGCCTTAACACGCACTAGACGTTGTGTTCTATCCATCCGTCCATCTATCACTGTCCCATCTCCAGTATCGCTCTATCCAGCTCTACATGCGTTGTTGACCGTTCTATCTATTCTACATGCCTCTACATGTTGGAGTCAGAACTTTATCTATATCACGTTACCGGTCCTATCCTCCAGATTATTTTATGTAGATGTATCCGCTTTTATCGATTTTTATTAAATCATTTTCCTGTCGCTTACCATTTTACGTGCATTATCATGCGCTAGATGATGTGTTATCTATATTGTATCATTGTCCTACCCCTAAAATCGTTCTATACAGCTTTACACGCATCACTGATGTGTTTTATTAAATAATTATCTTGGCGTGCACCATTTACATGACATAACATGTGATAGCCGATGTGTTATCTTTATCTTTATGTATCTTTATCCTACCTTCTAAACGGTTCTATGCGGCTTTTCAGCATAGCATCTACTTCTCCGGTTACATCATTATCCCACACCTTACATCATTTTACTTGTATTAACACGGTAGCCGGCGTTATCGCCATCATATCATGTCCTAAGGCCCTGTTCGCTTCTCTTATAATCCGTCTCTTTCAGCTTATTTTTTCAGCCGGAACAATGTTTTCCTTTCACAACAAATCAGCCGGAACAATATTCTGGCTTGTTTTTTCAGCGAAGCGAACGGGGCCTAAATCATTCTATACAACTTTATACGCCTTATTGACGTGGTATGTAGCAAAAATACATAATTATCATATCTGTTGTTCCATTCCTCGTGCCTTGATGCGTGGTATCCAACTTGTGATCTCTACCTCCTATCACTAGGGTACCATTTTCAAAAAAAGATTCATATGTGAAGGGTAAACCTATTTCTCTCTTTTTTTTGAATCAAGTAAACCTATTTCTTAAAACCGTGGAAAAGAAACCACCCCACATGGAGCACCAAACGCAGCAGATCTTGGGGTACCTGGTACGGTGCCTTTGGGCAAGAGATATTCTGGGCATGGGCGCAATCTGTGGTACGAACACGGGGGGCATGCCAATTCACCTACCGTCTGCCTGCTTCCTGCTTTGGCTTTGCTTTAGCCCAGCGACCTTCTATAAAATGCTGTCCACTGCGGCTCAGTCTGCTTCCCCCGATACTTTCACCCCCCGACTTTTCCTTCCCTTCCTTCCCTTCCCCGCACGACGAGTGACGACGACCACCCCCAAACCCCACGCCGCGGAGCCGCACCAAATCTCACCCGCATCCTCTAGGGTTAGGGTTCTGCCCGCACCCGTGAATTTTGTTGCGAAATTTCTCATTTCCTGAGTTGAGAATCGCAACTCTCCGCTCGGCTCGTTGGGGAAATCGGTTATTTTCGTCCGGCCGTGTGTGGGCTCTCTGAAGCGTTTGTGCTGTCGGCTATTTCCCCCGAGGCTTTTAGGTAAGAATCGCGGCTCTCTGGAACGTTCGGGCTGGAATTTGGATCTTTTTTCTGACAGAAATGTTGCGGGATTTTTTTTTTGTGGGGAAAGGTTTAAAAAATCGCCTTCGTTTGTTCATCACGCGGCTGAAACTTTAGCCGGTGGTGGAAGTTTCGTGCCTCGGCGTGGCCCCCGTGCTCCGATTCCTGATCACCTGCGCGCACCCTATGAGCGCGGGGCGCGCGGGCTGGGGCTCCCGCTGCTCGGGCACGCGCGCGGGGTGCCCGTGTTAATGCCTCGGCTGTCCTGCAAGTTCGCGGACCCCGACAGCGCCGTTTCCTCAGCGCCGGCGGCGGTGCGCCGCGTGCGTCCAGACACGATGAGCTGCGGCAGCGACGGGTGCCGGGACGGCGGCAGCAGCGGCAGCGAGGAGTTCAGGCGGCCGCGGCCCAGCAAGGTCGCCGCTGATGATTCGGTGGCGCTCGCACGGAGCTCGGATGCCGCGGCGCCGGCGTCCTGGATCGACAGGAAGCTGCTTGTCGATCCCAAGATGCTGTTCGTTGGGGACAAGATTGGGGAGGGAGCTCATGGCAAGGTCTACAAGGGGAAGTAAGTAAATATGTTTTTGAGACGTGCATACCCGTGCCTATTTTTCACATGTATGTCCAAGTCATAGCTACTTTATCAACTGGGATGATTTTGGAGTATCTGCTTTAGCTGCCGTTTTAGTTCTTCTCGAATTAAATGTGTGTTATGCACTAGACCCTTGCAAAAAATGGCTATTAGTATGCTTCAAATTAATTAGTTTCTCAGGGTGCCCAAATCCTCCAGCTGTCCTCCATCGGTTATAGTATCACGCAGATTCATGCCTGGTACTCAGTTCAGGCTTCCAATATTTTGTTGAGATTTTTAGCATGCAGGAGGATGTTTTTAATCCAAACATGAGTCATGAGCTGTGCCATCCTTTACCTTGGAGGAAATGCTAGTCATGATGGCAGTAGAGAGTATACCTCCAACAATTTCCTCTCCAGAGAAAGACCAATCTGTCATAGATGACTGTTGGTACCATCTTCACATCTTGGTACCATCACAAGTTCAGATGACATTCTCTTCACATGAGGAAACTTGTGCCATCTAATTCATCATACCGTTTCCCTAAACTTACTCGACCAGTTTCTTTTCATTTGCCTTTTGTATATTTATTAAGTCATATCAGTAATCCTGTTTTTCTTGTATGCTTCAAATAGGTATGGTGATCAAATTGTAGCGATAAAGGTTCTTAACCGTGGCAGTACCCCTGAAGAAAAAGCAACACTTGAAGCCCGTTTCATTCGAGAAGTAAATATGATGTGTAAAGTGAAACATGAGAATCTTGTCAAGGTACTTCTTGGTCTGAATGTTACGCTTGTGTGGCTACACAAATTGTCAATTCTTTTGGGACCTTCTCACAACACTTTATTCCCTCCTGCAGTTTATTGGAGCTTGCAAGGAACCATTGATGGTGATTGTTAGTGAGCTACTACCAGGGATGTCACTGAAAAGTTACCTGCACAGCATTCGGCCTAGCCAACTAGATACACACACTGCAATCAGCTATGCTCTGGACATAGCTCATGCAATGGACTGTTTACATGCCAATGGCATAATACATAGAGACCTGAAACCTGGTAAGGATGCTTAAGCTATTTGACTTTTGGCGTTCTATACTTTGATCCTTTAGTTGCAACTTTCGGGTCTCTGTATGTCCATTTGAGTGTGTTTTGTATTGCCAGATCTTTAAATAGATTATCTTTAGCCACTCAAAATTTTCAGTGAGGTGTTTGCACATCTACTTATATGTGTTGTCATTTTCCCCACTTATTGTAAGACCTACGGGATATGCATTTGAATATTCCCAAGTCTATATCAGCATGACAGCACCAGCCTTAGTTTCCTTCTCATGGTTCTAGTTCAAAATGTTGCAATCTGTTTAGTCTTTTGCTTTGCTTCCTTGACCTTCTTGGTTCCTCTAGTAGTTGGTGTTTACGTTGCTTTAAATCCCCTATACTTATTTTATCAATATTTGTGCAGATAATTTATTGCTTACAGCAAATCGTAAGAAACTGAAACTTACTGATTTTGGACTTGCACGTGAAGAAACTGTGACTGAAATGATGACGGCTGAAACTGGGACTTACCGATGGATGGCCCCAGAGGTTGTGAACACTATTTTCTGCATTAACTTAAAGCTAGTGCAATTACATACTGAAACCAAGGCCGCGTTCGGCTGGCTGGCCGGCTGCGGCTGGGCTGGCCAGCGCTCTCACAGTCGCACTGTTCTCGTGAACAGTGTTTTCAGCCAGAACAGTATTTTTCCCTCACAACAATCAGCCGGAACAGTATTTTGGCTTATTTTTCAGTCCTGCCGAACAGGCCCCAAAACCACAGAAAAATTTGCTCCTGTAGTAATGTGCTAGTCTGCTAGCTGTATCATCTTTTGATTGTTTTTGGTACCATTTATTTTAATAAAAAAAGGATACTCTGGTACTGATCTGTGCAAAGGGTAGCTCATATTCTTTCTTTATGTGATTGTGCAGCTATACAGCACAGTCACACTTCGACGTGGTGAGAAAAAGCATTACACAAATAAAGTGGATGTGTACAGCTTTGGCATTGTTTTGTGGGAATTGTTGACCAATAGAATGCCATTTGAAGGCATGTCGAATCTACAAGCTGCATATGCTGCTGCTTTTCAGGTAAGGATGAAAATACTGTTGCCCATACTTGCACAAGTTAGTAACGCCTGCTTTTGTGGATAAAGCTGTTGGCCTCTTACTACTAGATGCTATGGCCAAGAAATTGTTTTGAATTTGATGTTGTCATGGAAGGAAGTTTTGGAATTTCAAATTCTTAGCCTTATGTGTCGTGATGATGACTGGTCTGCTGAATTTGTTTTACATACATCGTTTGGAATTGAAGAACTAGGCGTTAACATATCTTGATAGTATCATCCAACTGGTTTACATAACATCAATGCTGCTCTTTAACAAATCTCTCCATTTTATCTGTAATACTTCGAACAAGCTCATACCTATAATAGCCATTTTTTACATCATTTTTCAGTTGCAGTACACAGTTGTTCTCGATTGCAGTCTACTGATGTCGTAATATCTTCTCTTGTTTATATCAACAGCAAAAGCGCCCAGCTCTCCCTGAGGAGACCCCCCAGGAGCTTGTGTTCATAGTACAATCATGCTGGGTCGAGGATCCTGCCATGCGACCCAGTTTCAGCCAGATCATCCGAATGCTTGAAACTTTCCTGATGACAATACCTCCGCCTCCGCTTTCAGAACCAAACGAAGACGAGGAATCGGAAGAAACAAGGTCGTCACTGAGCAGTAGGAGCTCCTCTGGCTCCTCGCTCGTTTCTCGCGCGACAAGCAAGCTCTTGGTCGTCCGCCACCTCTTCGCCTCAAAGAAGACAGGCAATGGGAAGGCGTGATGCGCCATGCCCTGAGACGTTTTCCTTCGGTGCTGTAAAGATGCTAGCCTAGGTGATGCGTAATACAAGAGGGAACTTGTTCAGTATAGAGTAGCTGTTGTATTGATGATACAAAAGGAAAGTTGAAGCGCAACTTTTGCAAGCTATGTATAGCTCGCTGCTGCTTTACTGGAATCTGTCCATGCTTTGCCTTCGAGCATCCATTCCCTTCACTGCACTGCATGTCTGCATATTTGGCGCCACTGCAATGAAACGAATGGCAAATGATATCCAAATAAACCCTGACAGGATGATTTGTCAAAAAAAAAATCTGACAGGATGGTTCTACAGTACCAGTCAATCGCCCTGTTAGCTTGGGTTTGTTTGGCTGATAAGTCATGGCTGAAAGTACTGTTGGCTGATTAGGTGTAAGAAAAATATTGTTCATTGGCTGAAAAAGTACGGCTTATAAGCCAAGACCAAACGAACAGAGTGAATATAGAACATCAAACCATTTCTTTTATAACATGATGATATACAAAAGTGCTCACTGTTTACTTGTTTAATCAAAGATAATATTCACTTCATTATACTTTTTCAAAAGTTTTGATCATATATATGATCAGAAAGATAACATTAAAAGATTTATATTGGGTATATTGAGTTTTACGTTCTCGAATTTTGCGACTGCTGTTAGTAATGTAGAAAAATTTCCCCAAAAAATACAAAAATGTAACACTTCTTATTCTTGTTTTAGGGCAAAATGTGAAAGTTGTTCAAAATTGCTCTGAATGTTAGAGACCTGTTCAAACGGGTCACCAACTGCGACCAGCGCAGGCTCGCAGGAGCAGCACAGCGCACTTGGGACAAGCGTGAAGGCACGCCGAGTCCAGCAAACAGCACCGTCTCAATCCCCACCCTCTTCCCGGCTCCGGCGGCCGCGCCACCATGGCTTCTCCTGCGGGGGCTAACAGCGGGGCCTCCTCCTCGAGGGGGACACCCTTGCCGTTGCCCTTCCCCTTCCCCGCTGCAGCGCACTTCCCCTCCCGCGGCGCCGGTCCCTTCCTGTCGCAGCACCATCAACCGCCCGCCGCCTCCGAAGGCGACGATGAGGTCGAAGAAGACGAGGGAAGCATGGACGACAACAGCGCCGAAAAGGGTGATGCCGAGCTGTCCGACGGTGGGGCTCGCGGCTCGCCGCAGCGACGCGCCTTCTCCGCTCCAGGTGAACCAAGGGTTTGCACAGAGGCTTTCAGGTCTTCATCTCTTACTGGTAGATTGGATTCTGCTGCTTGCAGCCTTGCAGGCGTGGAATGGTTAAACATAACTCGTGCGCATCCATGGTTAAGCCACGTTTATGGTGGACTCTGAGTAGTGAAATTTCCTCTTTTTCTCACTTGGGATTTTAGGTGCGTCTGTATCTGGATGAAGGTGATCATTGCTGCTTGCTGATCGTACACCAGGTATTGGACGCACGGAGATGAATGGGGAAATTGGAGTGAGGTCCATCCAAGAAGGGCAGCAATGGCACCAATTTGGGCTTGCATCACCAGGAGGGGATGATCCTGGTACCATCCCCAGAGATATGAGGGCGGAGAATGGGTATGGAGTTGTTGGAAGAAGAGAGGGGGGTCCTGCATCTAGCTATTGGGACCTGCTGAGAGCACACCTCTCTGATCCTTTGACGTGGGTACCCGAACATGCCCTGTTCGCTTGGCTTATAAGCCGTACTTTTTCAAGCCAACGAACAGTATTTTTCTCTTTCACAACAAATCAGCCAACAGTAACTTCAGCCATGACTTATCAGCCAAGCGAACAGGGCAAACATGCCCCTTTCTCTTTCTTGATCCACGCTGTAGTGTAGTCACATAATATTATATACCTGAGACTTCTACAGTGCTAATATCAAGTATATACTATACCAGTCTACCGCATTGTATGACAATGCTATTTACTGAAAAATGATGATAATTTATAGTGGTTGAACTATGCTCATGGGACATGTACTCTGGGACAAGTTAGTGCCCAATCATTTGTTTGATATGCTAGCTTTTGCCTCCGGCCTTAAATGATCATTAGTCATGTTTAGCACTGCATTTTGTGAGAACCCATAACCAAATCAGATTTCCTTGTGGCATAGAAATATTACTTCTTACTAAAAGGGCTGTTCCAAAAATCTCATTTCATTTATCTCCTGGCATGTTGCAGAGGTATTCTCATGGATGATGCAATGATTTTATCATGTGGCCATTCATATGGAAGTAGTGGAATGCAGCATGTCTACAGAATGGTATGTTAAAAGGAACCTTCACCTCCTGATACCGTTCCAAACTTTTGGCTCTAGAAACTAGATCATTAAAATGTAACATGTATGTTTTGTATCCTGCTTGTACCTACTCCTGTGGGTTTGTTAGTGTTAACTGTTAAGATTTCCTTCGCCCAAGTTTGCTATATTCAACAAATCACAGTTAGTTGGTTTTGGCTTTGAATTTGAGTGCTTTTCCTTCTGGGCGTTGTTTATTAGCTTCTGATTTGACCTATACCCAGTAATGCATGGGATATCTCTTCTTATTTAGAGTAATAACAATGCATTTCAAGAGCTTGTATGATTCAAAGCTTCCAATGCAATGTGTGTCTGTTCATTCAGTATAAAGCTCTATAAAGGGGTACAAATGATATTGTAGCAATGTTTTTTAGTCATTAATTCATTGCCGTCACATATTACACATGATGCAAGTTTCAATTTGCAAAGAATTGACTTTACTGGATAGACCTGGAAACTGGAAGCCCTAACAATCAGTGCTTACACAATGGTTTTATGGAATTTCAAGTGAATGTGAAAGTGATATATAACAGTCTCTATTCCTTGTGTGCAGAAAGCTTGTGGTAAATGTGGCCTGCCAATTACCGAGGCCTCCATTCGACCAAACTTGGGTATGGCTTTGAGCTGAGAAGTATCAACTAAGATATGTTACAGTCCATTATATTGTGTTAACTAGCTTGGATGTTCATACCTATTATTTGGTAAATGTCATACTAGGCATTCTCCATATGAATCTCTTTAGCTGTAGCACCAACTGTTTTTACCTTTTGATAGTCGAGGATCAGAGATTAATGGTATATGTATAACTTTAAGATTCTTATCCATGGATTGAGTAATTTTTTGTCAAGACTAATGCCTGCCCGCCCTCACATCTACGTCCTTCTATGAGCACAAGCAACGATATGCACATACTAGATGTCTTCCTGTAAACTCTCCCAGTTAATGTTGTCCAGTCTGATTTTTGAAACTTCCTCAATGAAATCAATTCAGTTCATATTTACCAGATATTTTGTAGCTTTCATGCATACCTGCCATCCCACATGTGATTCTTTTCTTAGCTTTTCATAGAATAGATGCAATTCATATATAACTGGTACTTTGTAGCTTCCATTTCATCCGTTTGTCTTTTGGGTATGTTTTCAGTTCTTCGCCTTGCAGTTCAGGCATTCAAACGTGAAGAAGATTCAGCAAAGTCATTGAAAAGAAGAACAGACCGCCTTGAACTGGTATAAACCCTTTTCCAGCTTATCAGTCACCCTTCAAATCCGGCAGCTATATTCGTTGCATGTTCTTAAATCCATTCTACCCTATGTGAGGATAAATGTGGCGACGATGATCCAAATCGAACTGAACTTGCTAGTAGAGGTAAAGGTGTGCAGTTTCCTTTTGCTGTCTTCGACCGGGTCATAATCAAGGTATTTTATCAGCAAGACAACTAAGCAGTGTCTGTCATTCCCTCTGTGTTGTGATTTCTGCAATAACTAGTGTGTGAAATGAATCTTTTCAGGGAAACAAGAGGACCCCGGAACAGTTTGTGGGACGTCAAGCAGTTGTGACAGCGCAGTGCTTAAATGGATGGTTAGAATAATTTCATCCTAACTGACCTTCCCGGAATCAAGCACAATGCTTATCTCACTACTTGAAAACCTGTAATTTTTTTCATGATCTATTGCTCGCTTATAACAGGTATGTTGTGAAGACTTCAGACAACGCAGAGAGTGTGAAGCTGCAATACCGTTCCTTGGCAAAGGTTGCTGATGGCAATGGGCCTTCTGGTCTGGTCTCAAGCAACGCCCAAAGTTCAAGCTGGCTATGATGAGCTACACAGTACCGGTAGCAGTACCCAAGCCCCCCTGCAGCACCAGAAACACCTCTTCTGTTTAGGTTTACTTTGTCCCTTTTCTCTTTTTGTACCCAGGAGAGACAGATCTTGTGAGTGTGACCAAAGAAATGTGAGTACCCTTAGCAGTGTTGGAGTACCTTTCTCCTTCCATTCCAATTGCGGAAACGTGTGGCGTCACTGATCACGAGGAGTAGTTCTAGCCGTCTTCTGTCAGTAGCGGTATGGCCACGAGGAAAATCATGGCTTCACTGTAGCCGGTTGAAAATTACTGTTCATATTCTTCTAAATTCCTCCCGATTTCTTCAGATTTTTTCAAATTTTTCCCAGGACATATGAACACACCAACAAATCTGGGCCAAACATGCCTGAGGCTAGCAGTTCACCTGTCACGTCTATAGCCTGCAGGAGAAGGATCCTGGTTTCTTAACAACTTGCCGCCACGTGTCGCCTCCTGGGCCGTCCGATCGGTGTCGTTCCAGAACAATCTGCCTCCGAATCAACGGCGGGCTCTGACAAGCCGCTCGCGCCAGCCGCTTGTTCTCTATAAAGGCCTGCCCTCCGCCCAGATCCAACCTCTTTTCCCTCTCCTCCTGCCTCCGCCTCCACGCCACGCCACACACAGGATAGCGAGCGGGAGGGACGGCGGCGCCAAGCTAGGGTTTTGATCCGGCCTCGCCGGCCAGGCTGCGCGGCCCCGCCGCCGAAGCCATGGAGAGGGAGCTGCTGGAGACGTTCGATGCGGCCAAGAAGGCGGCCGACGCTACGGCAGCGGACGGCGACTCGCCGGAGGCTGACCGCTGCCTCGACGCGCTGCGCCGGCTGCGCGGCATACGCGTCAACACCGACATCCTCGTC